ACCTTAAAAGAAAACCTTTGATCATTCCCTAGAGATTTATGATGAACTCAAGCCTTTGTTTTATCAAGAATTAACCAGTAACTATAGGGTATCCCTAGTCTTATGTGATATCTACTATAGTTTAATCGCACAAAAATCTTAACAACGGCGATCCAGCCCTAATTGTTAATCACAAATCAATCCCTATTGGTCCGACAAGGAAAACCTTAAAAATATTGAACGATTAAATTGATTATGAAAAACAAATGTATTACTGAAAATAACGAATCAAAGTTGTTTACAATGTCAAATCAGGGACATCCCCTAGCATTGGGGGGATTAGCTACTCATATTATTCAAAATAATTACAAGATAAAAATTAGACATTACAAGTATTTGGATAACTTCAATCTTCAATTGCTTTCGCTCATGAAAATATTCTGCCCTCCAATGACCTTGGTCTCTCCAATCTTCGATCGTGTAAAACTTCTTCGCTTTATCCAAAAGTCCTCTAATTCCTCTTCAAAACTCATCTAAATAGAAAACATTCACTCAGATCGGTTGGAAATACTCAAAACGCCCCCCACAGCTCAACCCATGGATAAAATATTTAAAAAATTAGGAAATCAGCGTCACATGCTAACACGGGTCGTGTCAGCCAACACAGACGTCTGTGTTGCTCTTATGTAATTTTAAATCTTGATTTTTGGTCCCAGGCCTCTTGACATGGGCACCCGTGTAGGACCACTGACTTTTGTTGTGCCTTTGCTGCTTGCCTGACACGGCCAGTGACAGCTGACACGGGCGGCCGTGTCAGATCTCCTGGAGTATACAGAAAACTTTTCTAAATTCTTACGATTTTTCCTGGTTTTCCTCTGATTCTTCTTGAATGCTTACCTGAATCTAAAAACACTAAAAAGACATAACCAAAGCATAAAATGAGGAAAAGGGGAACTAAAGCGCTTAAAAAAATCACACAATTACTAGAATTAATGGTAAACAAAGGTGTAAAAAACACTTATCAAAGGAGCACACATAAAAGGATCTTTAGGCATGTACTACATGTAGCCGAATTGACGCATGACGCGCTCAGGAAGATGAGGAGTCGTTTGATGTGACCCGCAAGCCAACCATTCCAAGTATAAGACAATGTCATCAGAGGGAATCGTCTCACAATGATCGATTTATGTATGGAAGTGTATATTTTTAAAGACCAAGCGCCAATATACACCCTGAACGACTTTATCGCATGGTTCCCTCCGAGCGGCTCGAATACATAAGCGTGCAACTTATCCTTTGTATAAGTCGACTCAAGTGACCAACTGGAGATGCGTGTGAAGTGTTGTAGGATCTAGGCCTGAAAAACAAGAATCATTAGTTAGTAACGGTGTTGCAATAATTTAATGAAAATGAGACACAAGCACTAAAAGACCAATGAAAGTTACCGTCAAAAGTGTGATATTTCTTATCAATTGCTTCGTCTTTAACATACAACCTTCAGATAACTTAGAGTACAAGTAGACCAAACAAGCGGATCCTCAGTTGTACTCATGGATTTGCTCAAAGTATTTAAAGTACTGCAGATACATGACATCCACATAAGTGGAACTTTTGTCCATAAAAATGGCAGTTCCAACCAAATACAACATGTATGCTCTCATAGAATAGACTTTGTGCTGCCCTACCTACTCGACATCACTATCATCCTGTTGCGCTCACGATATCCCATTATCAAACACCTTTTGCAAATAGTTAAACCTAGCATGGGCCTCGTGGGTCTTGTCAAGCTCTTTCATATCACTCTCTAGTTCAACTCCTAAGTATTCTACCATCAACTACAGTGCCTATTCTTTGTCACACTTCTCATGATCTAAACATCTCCCCCTAATCGGAAGATGAAACAGACACGCGACATTGTCTACTATGATAGACACCTCACCATGTGGTAGATGGAAGGATGACGTCTTTTCATGTCATCTCTCTACAAAAGCATTAATCATACCATGATTAATTGTAGTATAACAAGTCTTGCCCAAATCACGTAACCCTGATGGCTGCAAAATTTCCTGAAACCACAGCTCATTAGGCTCTTCCAGGCGAGTGATCTTCTGCATATGATTGATGATTTTTAGCAGATCATGTTCCTTCATACAAGGTTTCATAAGAATGATTGAAACAAACAAAAGTTAATAATAAAACAAACATAGTTTTAAATGAATAATTACAACTAAATTTGACCTCTTCGTTCCAGATATGTTTGATAACATGGTTTGAGTAAAGAGACAGTAGTGATAAGTCTGACAGACCTCCTCGAAAACTCTGAGGTGTCGCACGTGCGAACTCATCCGCCTGGGCCTGTGATGTATCAGGTGCTGGCTAGGACTAGAATGCATGTGATGCCTTAGGTGCCTCCTGAAACTGTGATGCCTCGAGTGTCGCTGGTGTAGCCTAGGACTAGGGTACCTCATGTGTCATATGGGATTGTGATGGCTCTCCTGCCTCAGTTACCTGAATAGGTGAACTCATGTGTCTACGTGAAGATGGATGAGAGATATTAGCAGGGGACCCTCATCTACTACAGGAGGATGAAGAAGAAGGCGGAGAGACATAAGCCCCGAAATGTGACGCCACCTCCGCATTAACCTGTCTAAAGGTAGAAAGAGTCTGGGATGGTTGGCTTGTTTCCCTCCAAACAGATGCATGTTGTGCAATCCTACTGTGTCTCTATCTAGATTGTTTGCCAGCCATAACTCCTATAAAGAGACAAGACAAGCGTTACACAATGATTCATGTACAAAAAAGGGAAACATAGTATAGGCAGATTGCTTACGGAGATGCATCTCCGGTTAAGTGGTAAACGTTGAAAATTTTCGGAGATGCATCTTTGGAAATTTCCGCAACTTCAAAGCTCTGCCAATGGCGGAATACAAACCAATAAAACCTCAAAAAAAATTATTGATCGTAAAAACTACCTAACTAAATCGTTCCTCAGTAGTTCTAAGCTATCAAACACACAAAAAATCAATTTCAAAACCTACAACTCAACTTCTACACAATTTTACGTTAACTCAATAATTAACTTTAAAAAAAAACTTACAATTTCTCTCTTCAAGTTGATTCTTGTTGCTCAATGATGTTTGAATACTGAAGTTTGATGAAGATTGAGTGTGCTATGAATGAGTTTTAGATAACGGGGGTTGGTGAGTGTTTGTAGAAATGGTTTTTTGAAAGAGTATGAGTAACTGGGGGAGAGGAAGGGGATCTGACGTGTATTTGAACGAATAGCATTCGGAAATGTGTCTATGTTAGTATGTAGGAGATGCATCTCTGAAAAAATTCCGCGTGAAAATTAGGCCTGGGAAATTTATGTCCTGAAGTTGGATTCGTCCAGAGATACATCTACATAAGATTTACGTAGATATATCTCTGACAAATTATTTTCACTGATTCAAGACATTGTTCTACAATGTATAAAATTTTGGTGCGTCTAAAAATATCTTCGAAATTTAAAAGCCTAAATATATTTTCGCACAGTACACTAGAAAAGCATAAAGTGCATTAAGAAAATAGTCTATATTACACTTACATTCTTTCAAGAATCCATAATCCGTAATTGTCATTTCATTACAGGCTGGTGAAACTCGTGAGTTTGAGTTTGACAACTTAAAGCAAAAATCAACACCGTAAATTAAGCCAAGCCACTGGAAAAATCAATAAACTAAAACATGAACTTTTGGCAGCTGACCAATTTCACAACAAATTAAATGACTCATTTGGTTTCTTACCCTTGAACCTATTAATGAGGATCTAAGGAAAATGATAAATTGGGCATAATCTTTGTCTGATAGTGACACGTGAGTTGGGTGTAGAGGTTATGTGATATGTTGTTTGGTGCTACTAAGTTTGTTTCCATAGCATAGCATAAACCAAATGAATGAAGCTACGAGTGTACTTCTTCCATCACATGGCTCCCTGTTCGAGTACTACCATTAATCATCTCACCTTCAACTTTATACCTGTTCTCCACTACCACTTTTAATAATACACAAGGTTATAATATTTAATTTTTTTATAATACACAATGTTATGTTTCTAGACTTACTACATGATAAATTTTAAAAAATCCAATTTTTTACACTTGGGCTGAACTATGTGTCTCAATTAGTCAACTCCAAAAAAAACAGTAACCACTAAACCGAACAAAGTACTAGAATATCATTGTTACTATTATTATAAGGGAGTGGATCTATGTACCACTGAAAAAGCCAAAAGGACACAAATAACAAAGATAAAAGTAAAGGGGGTGAGGGTAGAAATACAATGGAGAAGTTTGACCAAGTCAAAATGAGAAATGGCTCCAACTCCAAATCAAATCGCAACTTCCAAAGTATCTTGGTTAGTTGCTTCTTTAAGAAAAAATTAAAGCGGGAGATAGGGTAGAAATACAGCAAGGGCTCCACTAACTAGGGTATGTACAGAGTTGGGGGCCCAAGGTACCCACCAAAATCCAATCACAAAACTAAACTATGATTCACATTAAAGTTGGATATCAAAAACTTCTCAAAAACAACCAATTTATTATCAAAAAATGTATAAATAGAACGAAATGAATAACTTATATTATTTCAAACATATAATGATCATATTTTACAAAGGAGGAATCTACCCTACATGAAGAAACACAATGCCCTGGTTTTATTATTACAACTGGTAATAATTATTATATTATCAATAAATAATAATTAATAAAATGCAATTCCCTAAACTGCTATTCTTTCACTACTTGATAAACTAGATGATAGTTGGACAAAAAAAAACTCAAACCATATTCTAAAAGCTAAAAAATTTCTTACTCAAGAACTGGACTTTGTTATTGAAACTGAATTTAACTTAACTACCACACCATTGAATTTTATCTCTTTAAAACAAATTATCATGTAAAACTTTCACAAACAAGTTCCTACTACTACTTTCTTTAACATTGAGATTAAATATGTCATCCTTTGTTTAGAGAACAAAAGTCAATATGTCCACTCTTGAGGTAGACGAATTTCACAGCTGGCTGCTTCTTCCCGGAGAGCAATTAATCTTTGCTGCTTCAAAAGTGCATTTCTTCTAGCCAACAATAAATCTAAAACAAAAAAAAAAACACAAATTAGTTCAAAAAAACTATAACAAACTCCAAATATTACTTTCACAAAACTAATTAAACCTCTTACCAAAATCGTTGGTGAAACAATTTGTGAATCGATTTTGAGCAGCAACATTCATGTCACCAATGTTCAAGTTCAAACCGTTTACCTTCTTAACCGGTTGCATAACTGGTCCACAACCTATCAACAAAACACAACATACATAATAAGGTACAATATCAAAGAAAACCTCGAAAAGAGATGAAAGGGGTAAAATAGGAAATAAATAATCTACCAGTTCTCTTGTGGGAAGCTGAAGGGGTAGAACTAGTAGTCTCATAATGACGAGGTAAAAATACACCGGTTCCACCAGAAGGCTTTTTCACAGAAGATCCACCCGGAACCGGAACCCGGAACCCGGATCCAGCATATTGTTGTACCCGTTGGTTTTGAGGATGAAGTTGAAAAGACATGGGGACGTTACATCTTCCAGTTTCGTAACCAAGTTCACGCCTTCTGTTCTGAAGTAGTGACTGTCGTTGATGAACCAACCAATTAGGTTCCGTTTCCCAAACGGAACCACACTCTTGCTTCTGTTTCACTTCTTGCTGAACCTTCACAACAAAAAATAAAATAAATAAATTAGACACTTGCTTTAATAAATAAAAATTTGAAAATTATAAAAAAATAAAATAAAAAAAGTAAAGATGGATTTGATGTTTGAAAGTTTGAACAAGCTCTCACCAAGTTAGCATGGGTGGGACCAACTAGGTTGTTCATTTTCAACCTAGCAACTTGTCCTGCAGCAGCATAAATAACTTCCCACGGATCAGTTAACGGCGCCGTTACAGGAGACGGAACACGAGAGTTTCCGTTTGGGCTACCGTTATTGCTTCCACTTGACCAGCTGCCGATTCCGCTCAGAATGGACTGAGGCGACCCGGCCACGTCACGAGTTTTTGGCGAATGATGAACTGTTGCTTGGGGTTTGTTCCAAGCGTTGATAGGTGCGGTGTTGAGTTTGTTCCGAGTTTCGTTGAGTGTTGACTGACTGAGTCGTTGAGTTAGCCCCGCGAAGAAGCTTTCTTCTTCGTCGCTGCTCTCAGTTGACTCGGTTGAGCTTGAGCCTGCTACGGATTCCACCGCCGGGGAAGATAGTTCGAACTCGTAGGGGAACTCGGAGGGGAAGCCGAACGCGGCGTCTGACTCAGGTGGAGACCAGAGTGGTTGTTTTGCCATCGAGATTTTGTGTGACGGTTCGGAGAAGGTGAGGATGTTTGGGGAGTTTTTTGTGACGGTTCGGAGAAGCTGAGGATGTTAAGAGGCCAAGAGAGAGAGATTAGTTAGTGGGTGTGTGAGGAAAGGAAGCAGGGAGTTTGGAGGAAAGAATGTTGAAGACAATCTGCTTTTATTAAGGTTTCACAAGCTAGATTAAGGCACTACATATTTTTAAATTATTTTTATTTTAATAATTAATAATATTAATAATTTAGTTTTATTATTATTATTATTATTACTAGTATGATATGAAAAGATAATGGTATTGGTATTTTTGGAAGGTGAAAATAAATAAATATGAGGGTGAGCAGTTCATGAGAACAACTGGAAGAATGGCCCAGTGGTTGGAGAGACATTTGTCCCTATTATTGCATGCATAACCCACCTGCCATTTGTCCCCTCCACACCCTCTTTTTTAATTATATTCACTTTTATATTTTTATTTAATTTAATATACAAATGAACATTCAAGCACTATTTAAGATTTTTTTTAATTTTAATTCTTGAATATAAATTTTGACGAGGTTGGTCCTGTTTCTCGCAGTTTGTCGCAAGGCGTTTTTGATATATTTGTAGAATATGCTATTTATTATAAGAAAATTTTTTAATTTAAATATCGATATGAATTTATAAAAAATCTCATATTTGATATATTTAGATATCCGTAAAAAAAAGTGTTATGAATTTTTTGATTGACTTAAAAAAATTAACTTTTAAGTGAGTCAATGTTTTAATATATAAGTGAATAGGAGAAAAATATAGATGTGTAAATTTAATTAATATTTTTTTACTGTAATTTTATGGGAACACAGACGTTATCAACATTGTTTTAAATTTCGATAATTAATATATTTTCATATGAAAAATAATATAAATATTCAAGTACAATAATATTGTATCACTTAGGATAATTAATTAATGTAGTTTATAAAATGATTGGGACTCTAGTGTAATTTGTTGTTTCTTTGTCTATTATTTTTATATAATTTTAATTTTAATTTTTTATATATATCATTGTTGAAGTATATTAGAATAAGTTTTTGAGGAATATTTATTTTTTACGGCTACTAGTGGCTCTACTCTAGTAGATTTAAAATCAAAATTTTGGATTTGTGTATTAATAAAGGATCTTGTGTTCCATTATCCGTCGTACATGGAGGACTGGTCCTACTCTCCAGTCTTATGTTCTTCCTCTAGTTGTTTTTTTAAGTATGAATTTATTACATTTTGGCGTTTGGCAAGATTTACTATGCCAAGATTTACAATTTTAGGTAATATCTATACTATACATATGACCCTTATTTTGAATTTTCTAATTAATGTTTTTATCTTTTAAATAGTAATGAATCTGCCGCCGATACTGCCTTTTATTTTTCAAGTAATTTGATGCAAATTCAAAATTTCGGTGGAGTGGGGTCGAGGGTGATTTGGACAATATTCTAATTAAACAAAGATTGACTTTATTTTTTGTTTGCTGGCTAAATTAATTAAAATTAGATTCAAGATGATACCTTCACTGTGCCTGCATATGGAAATGATTCCCTTTGCACCTTTACTCATTTTATAGAAAATATTATTAATCATGATTAGTGACTATGCACTTATCAGCGTGTTGTTTAATTTACTTAATATTTGAATTGAACAAGTAATTCTCTCCACGATAATATGATTTTAAATATAATGATATTTTTTTGGTTTGTGAGTTGTTACATGTATATAGTTTATCCTTTGACCTTGTGTATTAAGTTTGCTTGTAGAATAGGCAAATTATACTACTTATTATTTGAAGCACAAGAGATAAGAATGAGCATTTTACATCATTGGGAAAAATCATATCTTATGCTATTTGATTCGTAATATGTTAGCACAATGATTTTCGCTTTTTCCATACTGCAAGGATCCAAGCAACCGTTCCTATTTGAATGCTCCAAAATTGAATGCCATTACATAATAAAAATAGCTCATTTAACATATTATGTTTCATAAATGCCTTTACATTTTATGGGTCATATGCCAAAATTAAGAATGAGAAAAAAATTGAGTTAAGAAAAATTGGTTGTGCGCTGTTGGGAAACCCATCTGAAGAGGAATACGTGGAGAAAGGTTTTTCTAGCTTTGAAACTAACTATATAGGTGGTACTGAGAATGGAAACGAGACTCAAGTCTCCCTATCTATCGGGAAATCGAACAATCCAGTCAATTTCAAGACAGTTGAGTATAGATGCACTCAGAAGTTGAGTATAAAAAATAAATAAAAAACAACATAAGTAGTTGGTTGAATATCAAAGACAAGGGACATAACAAGCACTATAGGATACTATGATTGAAGACATACAAAAAGGTCATTACAAGACTTTTTGTTGTGCTTCTCGCCTCCTTAGTGAGGCATTTTTGTGAGTTTCTCTCGTCTTCTTTTTACTTGGACTGAAATATTAGGGACAATGTTTGATTTAAAGTTGAGATTTATTTACATTTGTGTTTGTTGTGTGTTTTTGTATTTTTGTTTGAATAAAGATGCATATATCACTACTAAAACACCTAAAAATTGAACCGTTAAATTTTTTTCTTTTGAAAAAACTCTTAACTTTTGAAACAATCGACTGAACGTCAACTGATAATGAAATCAATGAAGTCGCCATCAAACTTTTTTTATCCCACGGGAAGGGAAAGGAAAATCTCGAGTAAACTTGAGAAGGGCGAAATCAAGGTCAAACGACCGAGAGATCGAGTAAGGGGGTCTGTTACGCGAGAGAAACGTATTAGCACCCCACACGCCCGTAGTATTTTATGGTATCCACTCTTGTTATTCTAATCTAATGGGTGTTGTCAAATATAATGCTTAAGAACTAAAAGAAAATGCAAAGAGAGAATGCATGGAAAAGAAAAGAAAATAATGTAGGGAAAATAAAGTTGTACTCATTCGGGCCCTAACCCAATGCCTACGTATCCCTTGTAAGGAATTAAAGTTGTCGTAGTTCAGCTCACTTATTTTGACGGGTTTGTATTTTTTATTTGAATAATGTTAGATTCGATCGTTCCACTGCGGCTTGACCTTTTGGAGACTTACGACCTCTAGTGGAAAGGAACTAACGTGCTCTTAGAAGGGAAAAGTCGATTGGCAAAAAGAAAGGAATTGGTTGGTGTTTTTTTACCTTAAAAAAGGATTTGAAAGTTTTAGATGTTTTACGCATTTGCCGAGAAAAAGAAGATTTTTGTTTTAGATGCAAAGGATGCAAAAGAAAACAAAACATCTAAGGGAGACTATCTAAATCTAATCCTTAATGTTATCATACAATGATTGATCTTAAAGTTGAGTTTTAAAGGGAAATATATATCCTATGTTGACATGCATGGATAACAATCCTAACGTCTATCTCAAATCATCATCTATAGATGAATCAAGAAGTCCTAAAGGAGCATAGCAAGGGTTTATCACCTAAGACTATGTCTATCTCGAATCATCATCTATAGATGAATCGAGAGCTCCTAAGGGAACATGTCGAGGGTATATCATCTCAAAACATGCACACAAAAATAAAATCAAGTAAGCAAGTCAATAGGCTCAAGAGAGTTAGCTCAAGAGAGCACACACAATGTGTCATGAGTAGTGCACGCTAACCCATGTCAAATGCCTAACAAAGGTATTAAGGATTAAGGTAGGAAAACAATTCAACAATCAAAAGGCTCAAGAGAGCACACCTAGAGAAATTCTATCTAGGCTAGCATACCAAAGAAAGTCTAACAAAAATATCATATGGGGAACATGCAATGAGAGCGAAGTCATGATCTCAATTTCTAAATTGAGTGACTCATCGATCAACAAAAAAGTAAAGGAAAGCGATAAAATCCTATAGAGAGCATACATTGAGAGCGAAGTCGTGATCTCAATTTCTAAATTGAGTGACTCATCGATCAACAAGAAACAAAGGAAAGCGATAAAATTCTATAGGGAGCATATACTGAGAGTGAAGTCATGATCTTAATTTCTAAATTGAGTGACTCATCAATCAACAACCAAGGAAGTAAACACAAGCACAACACATATAGTAAATAAAATATGGAATGCCTGCTACAGGTCTTTAAACAACGGCTTTGTTGCTATGGGGCTCCTAGAACTATCTAAAAAACTGTAGAGTGAAAGAAACAAAAAGGAGGCAGTGCAATACCAAACAGATAATAATTCGTAGCAAGTAAGCAAAAATAAGAAAGCCGAAGAACTTTGAGTAGACTAGCATCATCAAGCAAAGCAAGTCAGAAATCGGATGTCCGACATAAGCCTCAAAGCAAACGGTATGAAAATAAATCACAAAAATGATGTGCACCAGACACCATCACAAAAGTCATCCTACATAAAATGCAATCCAGATAAAAACACAACAAATATGTGTATTCATCGAGTCAAGAGGATCAAAGGATAAACTTGTCTGAATCGCATCTGTATCTCGCAAGTAAAGTGAAACAGGAATCAAATAGGATATCGAATTCATGTTCCCCCAAATAAAGTGGGACACGAATTAATATCATCATGAGAATCCTTTAGTATGAGTCATTGCACAACCAACACACATGTCAAAAATAACAAGGAAAAACTAAACCAAAAGAGAAAACATAAGGAAAAATGAAACAAAATAAAAAAGGAAATTGTTGTTTTTTGGCCTGGGAACCCGGTTACCAAGATTTGGGTAACCGATTATCCTAACTCAAAAATTTGGGAAAATAGCTACTGACTTGAGGTAACCGGTTACCATGATTGGGTAACCGGTTATCCAAGCCAAAAAAGTTGGGAAATGCTACTGTAAGTGGGGTAACCAGTTACCATAACTGGGTAACCGGTTACCTTCGGGAAGAAAGCAGTTTTTTAACAGTTTTTTGAGATTTGGCTCATGGTTTGTGCAAGCTTTTGATTCTATTGCAAGGCAAGATCATAGTTCAAGCATTTTATCAAACACATGTCATGTTCA